AATAGCAAAACACATTTTCTATAAACACAATATACAATAAAAGATCACTGTTTGAACGTGGAGCATTTTTAAAATAATAAAAATTATGCATTTTCGAGAAGTATTACAAATGTTTTATTCATGAACACCAACGTTGTGCAGGTTTCATACTTTCATAATTTTTTCCATTAATAATAGTTTGTACGCAAATAGCAAGCTGCTTTATGTAAAATTGAAATAACAGTTCTTCTTTTTTATCAACTTTCTAAATCAACCCTCCATATTGTGCGAATGAAGTGTCAATCATTAGAGTTTTCCTTTCGCGTATTTCTATTGACATTCTGTACTAATTTCATCAACTCGATCATTCCCTTTTTATTATTATTTAATACGTAAAAATTTAAAAGAGTATTTAAAGGTATATTTATCATGATTTATACTGAAATCATCCACAAAGCCACACTTTTTTATTCGTCGTTGTTAATTTATTAAAATTATTCTATATTTATCATATTCATATATGAAAACAAATTATAGTACAAGTAAAAAATTGTAAATAACTAATAAGTGCGACGATTTTCTATGTATGCTCTTACTTAATTATAATTGAATTTGCCAGTAGTTGTTCAACAATTACTGAACTCTATATCCCATAATACTTTACTGAAAAAGCGGGTTATTAATTGGAACAGATGTGCAAGTGTGGGAGATGTTTTTGAAAAACTAATATGTTTAATCTAAAAAGTTCCCAGCAATATTTCATCCCCTAATGGATAATGAAAGATTTTATATAATGAATGTCGCGCGTGCAGGCTTAAATTGGTTTACATTGAATACGCAAGGGGGAAAAACCATTAAAAAAAACCTTTCGCGCGTCTAAATTTTGCCTAATGTCACGATATAGAAAATAGTCTTTTCGAGTGTATCAACAAAACACATAACTTGATAACGTTTACTCATCTGCCAATTGTTCATCTACCGCTTCTGTAACGATGATCGTTTTGTAAGAGAACACCGATTGAGTCTGTCGGTAATAATTTACTGCAGACAATATTTGTACATTGAGGTTGAGTTCGCAGTATGAACAGACCGATTTACGGTGTAATGGTATACGTGCAGCATTAAAAAACGGCCATGGCGTTATGCAAATATCAGATATTGGGCAGAAATAAGTTTGGTCGATCAGGCTGACTCCCGGAGAGGATGACCGGGTTTTTCTATAATCTCATTCTAAGTCTTCTACATTTATAACGGTCCAAATGGCTTAAAACAATATTGGCGTTAATGTGTGTACAATGCGGTGTCAGGAAACGTCTCGGTCGGTAACGGCGGACACCGGAAGTGTGCGGCGGAGGAAATCTTGTGAACGCATATTCCGTAGACGACGTGATGACATAATTCCTCCGGGTGGCCGCCCGACGCAGCCGTTGCCGCACACCGTTCAAGGTCCACCGGTTCGTGTTGTTACTCCACCGCACCGTCCAACAACAATAATAAACCACTCGCACGTCCTCCTATCTCGCCCCCCCCCACCCGTTATTATATATGTACGAGTGTACACATAAATGCTAAGCCCGTCAGCCCGATCCCATTTCGGGACGAGTTTCAACATCTCTTCTGTGTAGATTCTACAATAAGATTTTCAGACCTACAGATGACACGACTTAATGAGAAATATAGCTGAAAAACAAAAATCATCCCACACGTTCTCACAAAAATTGCCACAAAAATAACCTAAAATGCCCATTTCAAAGTTATACGACGACTAACAGTCGAGTAATTTATTAGTTTAGATAAACAAATGAAAAATATATTGTTTGTACCACATCACCTGGAGTAACTCCTAATTAGACCGAGATAATATCAATCAATTTACTCATTGTATACTAATTAATAAAGTATCACATTGTGTCATTATAATTTGTCCGCGTTGGAAGTGCCTTGACAATGTAATGTCAACGTTCTGATATAATAAAGCACTGAATTTTGGGGGGAGACCATTTGTTCCGCTTCGAAAAATTTATAAATTTCCGTCGAAATGTAGCGAACTTTGGGGGACGCACGTAATTGCACACACAAGTTCACAATAACGAACCTTAATAATGACATGTAATTAACCACGTGCCTTACAAATCCAATATGATGTCTAACATAACGATTAGAATGGCATTAGCCTGGAAAATAAATCGACTCCGAACACTTATTATGTAATTCAGACTGAATTTTTATATCGAAAACGTTATGTAACTACATAGTCGTCTGTATTGAATGTTTGTCATCTTAAAAACGTGATACTACGCGATTTCCATTTAATGTGCAATTTCTCGACCGGGGCCGTTCGGGGGAGGCTACGGTCAAAAATATTATGCAACGCCGGCGATTATACGCTGGCGTCGTATAATATATTTTTAAATTCACAACCTTTTTTACTTGGGAAATCCCGCGGAATAAATGCAATATTTATGCTAATACAAATAATTACAATTTAAGTAAAGTAAAAACTGCTGAAGTTAAACCCACAACTCATGCGCTAGTCGAAACCGTCAAATTACTTTTTAATCGTTATTTTCACTCTCTCCAAATCGCCTTCCATACCGCCACAAGTTCCGGATGTGCTCGGTAAAGTCGTAGTTTTTCTACGGTCCATCGTCGTTGCAGCTGAAGCGGTCACGGATGATTTCGAATCGGCGACCGACATTGATATTGTATTACAGCGGTGCGCGTACAATGTATATCATTATACCATTACACATTATGTACACAGACCGGTAGAGGTAGTGCAGAGACCCAGCGGCATCGTTTACGTCGTGACTTCCAGTTCCACGCTGTGTCCTCTCTTACTGATCTCAGTTAAACGTTCATTTCCATCGCGTAGGTGCTTTGAGGAAAAAACAACACAGACACAGGAATAATATAATATTAGAAAACTTTGAGATAAACACATACGTCGTTTATGTAGTAATATAATATCATTATTAATTATATGACTGGCTATTCGGCGTATAAAAAAAAAAGTACTTTTAGGCCCATGCAGAGTCTTGAATAATTCGAAATGGTTTTTAATGCATAATTGCATTGTATGAATTCACTAAATAACAAACAGTTTATAGAGATAAATTTCAAATACCATTACAGTTTCTTTTCAAAGTACACTGCGCATAAAATATTTAATATCGAGTGTTTACAAAAGAAACTGTCGCACAAATTATGCACCTTATAGATAATAAATGAATTCGTGAAGCAGAAGAGTTGTTAAATAAAAAGCTTTGTTTTTGAGTTGGAATAATATCAACAAAAGCATACCGAAGCGCTTAGCTCGCACAATAATCGCCTCCGACACGAGCGTAAAACATCATAAAAACTGTAAGATTATGTTAACGCCAAAGGACTGCAAGAGAATATATCCGTTATTAAAACTGTAGTTGGAAACGCGGGTTGATATTAAAGTAATTTGTACTCACAATTAAAACACCATCCGGCAAACGAATATAACGTGAATACTATTCATATATATATATGTACAGATGGTTTCATTCACCTGTCGTTCCGAATGCGTTGGCCAACGGTAATTACTCTAATCCATATAAATTATAATAGGTACTAGTTTTACATATTATTACTCTTTAATTTCGTTGTAGATATTCATATAATTAACGCGATTTTTTATTGTACGGAACATTAGCATGAATACCGGCAGATTGTTGACGTACATAGGAAAACGAAAAAGTAAAAATAATAAAAAATATAAAATAAGACCGTCATATTATAATTCAGCATAGACGTTTCACTTGAAACTAGTTTGTAATTTTATAGCGCAATATTAGATATATGCTGCAAAAAATATGCATATTTATATTATCAAAACTCTGTCAGATGTTGAAACATGAAGTGCAATCACAAAATTAATGTCAAAATAATGTCGCATGTTTTAATCGGTGTACAGTTTTATCAGTTTAAATTTTAATGTATTCATAGTGTACAGTAGTGTTTGTGTTAGTCGAGTAGTACTTATAAATCAACAATCATTAAAGATATTATGTTCAAAATGATTTAGACACGATGACACATTTGATTAGAACACGATGAAAAATAATAATGTATTTAAAGTAATAATACTATTATGCACAGTGTATAGAAAATACAAAATCCGGATTATTTCGTATCACGAGATTCGCATGTTAACTAACCGGTCCTTGGAAACTTCATCGACTGCGCATGTACCTACCTACACTTTCAGCATTTAATGGATGAGTCTACTTTTTAACAATTCTTCTCGGTCGAGCCTCTCGAGTTTTGGCCTTGCACATACCCGTGGCAAAGACGATTAATGGGAAAACTGTACATTAAACTTTCACATGACCATTACAGCAGTAAACCCTACTATACGATGGCGTAATCAATTTTAAGTCTAAAGTAAATTATCTATAGTTGAATAAATAAAAAGTATTACAATCATAACCGAACACTATGAAATGATAACGATTTCAGATTTTTATTCAGAAAATGCTTCGACTTTGTAAAATACTGAATTAAGTTTTGTGGAAATTATATTTGTTTTATCTTAACATCGGTCAATCATTTAGGGTTTATATTTTAAATGTACTCGATATTGTTAACATAAAAACGCATGATGTCGAAACTTAAACCGATAAAATACTCGTCGATATACTCCAGATGATAACAGTTTTTATTGCCAAATAAACAACCTATTAGGTTTGAAACTTTTTATAATTTTGTTTTTAAATACAGCACTTATTTTCAATACACTATTTATTAATTATACCCACGTAAAGTGTTTATTGAGAATCTATATCAAAAGCATCACAAATACTAATAGTCCTTTGAAACACTATGTTTTAACATTATATGTTTAATAACCAAAAAATTATTAACTCAATGTGGTCTTCACAGATGCTATTATTTATTAACCCTTTGAGTCACGCATTATTTATTTTTTTTTAAATCAACTATTTTTTTTTAATATTAAAATACAAGTTATTCATATTACAAAATAAATGAAAAAAAAAATTTATTATTACAGTTTTTTGAAAAAGTGGTGGTTTAACTATTAAACCACCATGTAGGTTCTGCATAACAACATATTATTAAAAATTATTATAAAATATTTGAAAGTTATTATAATATTATAACTTATTGTGATATATTTTGAAACAATTTTTGTGTGGAGTTAAACACAAACCGGCATTGCATGAGGTACATTCCTATTTTGTCCTATGTGGATTAGCCTTAGTGCTGCAATTGTTGCATTAGAATATTTATTGCTAAAAATATTTGCATGGATTGTGAAGTCACAGGTTCAAATGGCTTTTGTTTTTGATGAGCATAAAAATCAGTATTAAAAACTAGGCCATCAACCAATTCATCATTAAAAAGATACTTAAAAAAAATCAAAGGATCTTCAGTTCCCAGTGGTAAATTAGGGCCACCTTTTCCTTGAAAAGGCAGGTGATCAGGCATCAAACCATGTTCTTCCCATATGCCATTTATATTCTGCAGTCTGTCAGCTAATGGAACATTATCTGGGTCATATATGATTTGTTGAACATTACTCTCGTCTTAAAATATATAAAACATTTATAATATTATATTATAAAAGTAAAGATGGACATTGGCCAACTAGATATACCTACATAATTACTTTACATAGCTATATCCTCATTAGTATGTAAAAATTGTAAATTATCACCATCAACATTCTTATTATTTTGTTCATTACAAGTTGTCAGATCACTAGGAACATTTATGACAATTACATTTTCATACATATAATGAATAGAAACTTCTGAATGGGAATTTCAATCATCCTAAATAGTTCATAATTATGAAATGTTGCACATAGAAAAATAAAATAAAATATTAAATTTAATTACTTAAACAACAAAATATTCTTCATTATCTGGAAAATCATCATCATTTACTATCGATTCATCATCACTAAGTATTGATTCGAATATTTGAAACAATCCATCGTGAGATCAAATTTCAATATCTGTCGTCACACTATTGTTCATTGTAGTACACTATTGACACCACCTATAAAATGAGAATAATTAAAATACCGATTCAAAAATATAATTAGTACTCATACTATTATTTTTATATTGTAAAATAAATTAATTTTCATCTCGGTGTATGGTAGCAAAATATCATTTAATTTATATTCACTAATACAATGAATATTGTAAAAAACATTCATAATATTTAATATATTTTAAGTCGATTTTTTTTATAAAAAAATAAAAGAATTTTACTTATAAAAGTGTAATTAATCTCACTCAAAACATTGCACAAGAAAACAGGATATAAAATCACAATGTTCCTAATACATCTCAACTTCTAAACAAAACACCAATTTCTGATACCTCTTCACAAGTCTCTAACGTAGATACATATAATACGGCTAGCCCTATCAAAAAGTCATGAGAAGAAACCCAAAATCAATCACGCTCTAATTCTTCTACGCGATTTGACAATTACAATTTAGAGAATACACCCAAAGCAGTAGAAATATATTTTTAGACACAAACGTTCCTTTTTAAAAACTTCAATTTATTTATTTGTTAGAAAATTTCTCTAATTGAACAAGTAACATACACGCACTATGATATCCGCCTTAAAATAAATGAACTAACCTTTAAATCAAAACTTACAAATTTAACCAATCTTCTCTTCCAAACATTATCACTACAAGAATAATATATATATTTCTTAAATATTTTTAAATTGCGGCTCTGATGATTATGTTGGTGAATTTTTCAACTATTTCATTTATATCGGCTGGTTTTAGAAGTGTGTTGAATTTTTTTGTTCCTAGTAAATTATTGACTATGTTAGAAAATGCAGACCAAGTAGAGTTTTTAGGTGTCATTTTGGGACATTGGTTGAAATTTTAGTAGCTTGAGAGTGATAATTAGAGTTCTACGATGTTTGTACAACCCAATTTATTGAGCTGCCTAATAAAGAGGATGTTATTGTTAAATCTATGGCAGAGAAACAATTATGTGTTATGTTGGATTTTGGGTAGTCACCGTTGTTGAGAAAGATTATTCAATTATTTTCTAGAAAATTTTCAACTATTTTCTCTCTTATGTGTTTACAGTCAGATTTCCATAAAATGTTTAAACTAAGTTGCCAAATAAGAAAAAGAGACGTGGGAGTTGGTCAATTATAATTTGAAGATCTATTAAGGAAAGGTCAAAGGTATCCGAAGAATATAGTAAAATTTGTGGTTATTTTAACTACTACCGCTTCACATGTTATGTTAAGAGGAATTTCTCTGTTTTGATGTGATGGAACAAAAATAAAAACGCTCCGCTGGTCTGGTATTTGTTTCTTAGTGACAGTTAATAAGTTGAAAGTCGGCAATTATGCGCTAGATGTCCGGTAATTTGTTTTTGTATCCATTGATGTTCCATTAGACTACAGTTTTTTTTAAATGGATGATGATTGTTTGTATGATTGAGTGGGGTAATTTGATTAAAGCGGATTAGGTTATTATTATTATTCATTGACAATTTAGTTGATTATTTGAATTTTTTGTTTTGAAAATTTTGTTGCGAGGTGTATTTTTGAATTGGTTTAGTGATATATATTAGTGAATATATTATATATATATATATTTTTTCTTCTTTGTCTTCGCCTTTATCCCAACTACTAGGGGTCGGCCAAGTAGTTCATCCGAGATGGGATGACAATTCGCCTAAGTCTTGTTCAGGACACCTCATACTTTTGGACAAAAATTTTACACCGGCTGTCGACTTGACGCAACCTTTAAACCATTAATCGCCTCTTACGACTAGCAGAGGTGCCATGGAAGTATTCTTGTTTCCTATCTACAGGAAAAATATTATCACTGATGCTTTTGGATCGTACTTTCAATCAAATAACAGCAACGAAAACTATAACAAAGATTTTACAAATAAAAAGACTGTAACGGAAACTATATACCCAATCAATTATGAAAAAGATGATCTAGACAACCCAAGAAACTCGTCTTTAACAATTGATGAACTACAAAAGACCCATAAAAATAATGAGAGAGAGTATTGATCCCGATTATATACTCTTTTCTTTTCTTCAAAACCGTCCATAAACTTTTCTTAACCTCTTACTCAAAATATTTAACTACATCTAGAATAACAACGTCTTCCCTCAATGGAAAGCAGCGTATATAATACCAATCCCTAAACATAGCAACATCCCTTTCGAAGTTAACAATTACTAACCAATTTCTCTTCTAAATACAATGAGCAAATTAATAGAGAGCGTAATAAATTTTCGACTGATATGGGAACTCGAAACAAAAAACCTACTGTCCTCTCACCAATTGGGCTTCCGGAAAAATAAACTCACAATTATTCACTAACAATAATTCACGCCGACATCTGCGATTCTATGACAAAGAATAACTATCTTTTAATGACATCCTTAGATATCTCAAAAGCATACGACATAATATGGAAGTACAGAATTCATGCAAAACTACAAAAATTGAATTTTAATGGTCATATATTAGTAACAATTTCCTTACAAATTGAATCTTAAGATTAAATTCAGTAATACCTTGTCGTTTATCTTTGAAACCGAAAATGGACTTCCCCAAGAATACTCTTAGAGCGTAATACTATTTTTAATCAAAATTTTTACTTATGCTGATGACTGCATTTATTTTGCTCGGGATCATTCATAAAAACCACAACTCCCTTATATGACAAGCTATCAACAACCTTAATCAATGGTCTATTAAATCTTGCTTTCAATTCTCCCCTTTAAAGTATCAAACCATACTTTTTAATCGAGCAAAAAGTCCGACTCACTAGTAATCAAAATTAATAATTTTGTCGTCCCCAACATCAATAATATTTGACTACTTAGCCTAATTTTCGACACTAAAATAAAATTAATAGAAATTACTAAAAATTAAATATTAATAATACAGTAAGTCACTATAAATGTAGCTCAAATCGTAAAAATCTCTTAATATTACACACCTAAATTCAGTCATCCATAGACTATTGCTCTATATATACAACTCAGCTGTCTCAAACAAATTAAAAATACTAATTCCTATTCATAATGCTGGAATCAAAATTTCCATTGGTGCCTTCAGAACAATTCCAATTGATAGCCTCCTATAAGAAGCCTATTATCCACTTCTAGATATCAGACATAAGAACCTCACCACAAAATATGAAGCAAAAGAAATATCAACTCCCCACACTGGAATGACGAATATCGTCTCAAATTCATACTATATAATATACGTTATCCTCAAAGAAAATAAACAACAAATATCTATGAAAATGAACAATATAAAACCCATTGATCATATGTTACCTATTCCTCCATGGAGCTCTCACCTTATAGTAACTATCACTTACCTCGTCAACTTTAACAAAAAAGATACCCCTCACAGTTCAATTCTAAACACATTTAATGACATAATAAATAAATTATACAATTATTTCCAAATATATACAGACGACTATAAATCCGATGAAAAAGTTGGATTTAATATCATACAGCCTTTAAAGAATACCCTATACAAGCATTTTTTCGCCAGAAGCCTTTGCCATAAATCCTTCACTATCAATCAACCAAAACAAAATTTTCATTCTTAGTGACACTGTGAGTACAGTAAAATGAATAGCAAACATTCACATCAAAAATAACCTTGCAATAAAATCATCAGTATTATGTGGACTCCTTCCCATATAGGTATTCGTGGTAAAGAACTCGCTGACAATCCAGTATTATCAGTAGCAAAATCTCCATAGTTGTGACAAAATAAAAATTTTCTAAATTTAAAAAAAAATTCATAATAAATTATTAAAATTAAAATTTTGGACATTTAAATTACATACGCTTTTTGATAAAATGATGTTAATTTTATCTATCTGTCTATTATTCAAGATTATTCAAATCTTAAGAGGTATGTTTTCCTACATTCGCCTAATGTTAATTAAAAAATTTTCAACAAATCAATTTTACTATATTACTGAACATCTCATTTAAAAAAAATTAACAAATTATATAAAAATGTAATTAATTGTGATTACAAAAAAAATTCAAAAAATCTGTTATAAATATGCATTTTTATAAAAAAAAATATATTTATATTTTTTTTTGCTTTCTACGAAACCATTTGAGATAATCAAGCCTATACAATTGTAATGCATACAGAAATAATGTTTAATACACATAATTGTTTTTAATTTAACATACAGTGTGTCACACCGCGATTTACTCATTTTCCAAGTAATACAGTAGGCAGTTGTGTAGTAAGTATCGCTCACACGTCACACATTTATCTATTCTTGGTTTAAAACTCATGTCCATAAAGAAAACCAAACCATAAATTCAATTCAGTTTGATTCAATGTTTTTTTTTTTTTTTTTAGAGAGCTACAATCAATAAATTTGATCTTTCTTCAATCTGATAATATTTAATAAATTCCATATTTTTAATTAACTACTGACAATAAGCTCGATTAAAGTATAAAATACAGAGAAAAATGTTGTGTTAAGCAACTTATAATTTAGAGAAGTATTTAAATGAGAAATTCACGGCGGGACTCTCTGTATTCAAATTATCGTAATATTTCGTTTATTATTTATTTATAAGTATATAAACAGCTCAAATCTAATGCAATTATGATATCAATGAAAGAACAACAAAATTACATTTGATTATCATAAAGAACGTAATGTTCCGATTTACACATAGTGCACGCTAAATTGTTTTTTGTTATCTTAATTAATTAAGTGCACTCCCTAGTCGATAATGTGTACAACAAAGTACAGCAAACGCGAATTCGATACTAACGACCTTTACCCATTACTGCAAAATCTTCAACTCAAATCACTTTATAATGATTCAAACGCAATGTTTTTATGATTGTCTCGTTGCCACTGGGCCCGGACTATAAAATAACAATAATTAACTTATCTGGTATTCTTATAATAATAATTATTTTTATTTATCTATGCACATTCGCGAGTAATTAAATTTGATGTACGTCGTAACATCTGCACGTGATTGATGAACGGCCATAGCAAAGGGGTCCATGCTTGCGCATAATAATTACAGCCGGTTTAGACCGTACCCGAAGATGAGATGTGAATTAAGGATTATAATGGCGTATCTTGAAGGATCCATTACAAACACCCATATTTGCTCTGACATTAATATTACAGTTACTCGTTATTTCTTGAAGTATTTAAGTCACAATCAATGTTATTGTAATCATTTATGCTTTCACGTGGAAAGCTTATGATATTTCTCTGTTACGAGTTCGATTTTAAAGATGAGTACGTATTTGTGACATCGAAACAAATAAAGACAATTTGTTTTATTATTATTATTATATAAATCATTAAGTCTCACTCGTTAAATTATAATATCATCCGTGTTACACCAGATCCCTTGAAAATAAACATTTAAAGCTATTAACCAAATGCATCGTTCCCCATTACAATTTCTACACAATATTTCACTAGCATATCAATTCTTAAGCCGATAATACAGAAGTATGAAAAAATAAAAATTATGGTCACTAATTTTTTATTTAACTCTTGAATTTTTTTCAAACTAACCAACTCAATCTCGGTATAGCTGTACTTTAAGTCATTGATATTTACTGATTTGTAAATCATATTTCCTCGGGCGTAGAATTAATTTTAACGAGGGAAAATTGAAGAAGAATTAATGCAAATCTTCGACCTTCAAGTCCAATACCGCAATAGAATCCTTTTGTAATCTCATTGCAAAACGAATACATTTACAAGAGACGTGCATCTAAAATAGAATGCACATTCATAAGAAAAAAAAGTATTTATGTGTAGTAATAATACCTAAGCCAAAACAAATATATTATGTAAAACAAGTTTTTATACAAACCGTCTGAGAATTCTAAGTTCATGAACCTTACTTGGAATACACAGAAAAGTATTTTCGTCTGGTGTTTTTTGTTTTACTAAGTATATAACTTACTCAATCGTAAATATTTTATTCTCCAATAATTATACATACTTTTTTTTTTACATCCGTGGTAATTATTATTCAAAGAATAAACAGATAACTTACTATTTGTAATAAGCAACGCGACAATAAATCGTTTATCAAAAGCATAAATTTTATATTTATTTTTTTCGGTGTGTTCTCAGCACGTTTACTTTAAAATTGACTTAATTTCACGAATGCCGATTACATCAATTGCTATTCATTTTAACATAACATAATTAAACCTGAAAAACTTAACTCACTTGACTGTCACAATAAAAATACACAAAATTCAATGACAAATTCAACAAAATAGAAATACGAGTGGGATTTCTCTGCACTCGTATCGGATTTTGATTTTAATAATGCAAATGGGGTTTGTTTGTTTTATCGTGGGAGACAATTCATTTTTATTACTGTGTCTTACGCGAGTAAATATTGTTAGCATAAAAATGTATCACTGAAGATTATCATAATTTTCGAGAAGACGTAAAAAACCTTAACGTGAAAAAGAAAGAATAAAGTTTACAGAATAAGATAACAACGACCTGTTCGAAATTATGATATTGTTTTCACCCTCGACATCACTGCAGTCTTATGTGAGGGCGCACATCAACAATAATATATAACCCAAATAGTACGTGTATGAAAACCTAAGGAAATCCGGTTTTGTTTTAGGGTTATCTCGCGTACAGCCGCACAGTCGATGATTACACGACACGTTTATATGCTCGTGGGTTATATTTATATGACTCATAATGTTGGGTGTTTTAGATTTATACGGGGATGGTTACTTAACGACCGACATAGCAACTCCGTCGTTACGATCGACGCTGATAGTATTAAGCCGTCCGCAATGGATACCAAGTAAAACATATGCGTAATGCCACACAACACCCAAACTGTTATAAATTATTCCGAATGGAAATATTGAAATCTCCTGGCCGGCCGGTCCGTCCGTTTAGGGCTGTTTTGACGGTTGTATCGTACAATGTACCATTTTCCCGTACAAATAGTTTTGTTCTCGGAATTTTTTTACTCATAATTTCCGTGTAACGCCCAAGTAGTTACGACCCGGTTTCAAAACATCTGTTCCATCCCCGTCGGTTTGTTGTGCTGGAAGTGTTTTCTCGTCATGCCTACCTCCTGTCGATCCACGGCTGCGATGCATTAACTATCTTAGGTCCGGAGTACTGTTGTGGCGTCTATAGTTTTAATTAACAGGCCTCGTCGTCGCGTATAGACTGTACAAACCCTCGAGTTCCAGAAACAGTCAGCTCTAAATTAGTTTTAAATTGAATGAGTATGGTATAATCTGTAACAAAAACATAGTACAGTGGATGTAATATAGAAAAAAAATAAATTATGCATAATCGTCGAAACTTCAGCACACTATCAGTCATATTTTGACTAATTTCACACTATAGTTCGTACAAGAGTCACAGATAGTGATTGAACCACTTTGTATAATCAACATTTTCCGACCGTATTGTTCTGACAGCAAAACAAACTTTTTCGCGACAAGAGATGGTTCACGAAAAAAAAAAAACAATTTACCTTTATGGTTTCTTCACCCCATCAAAACTATGCTACCGACTGTCGACGTTTGTTCTAAGATTTACACAGACTGTATCTCGTACACTACAAATAATAATATTTTTTCGACCTTACTATCACACAATCCAATTGAAATTGAATTTCCTTCGCATCAGTATTACTATACTTATCCCAAGACATTTCTCGTCGGCAGATATCTATTATTTCTAGTTTGTTACAGGTACATGTATTTGAGACAGAGCATTTTAAGACCATATCCAAGATATTACACATTATTTGCTAGGATACACAGTTAACTATACCGACAATTTAATTTTCCAAAATCACAAATCATGAAGAAAATAAATTGTTGTTTTTGTAGTATTGCCTTTTATTTTAGAAAACCATTTATTTATATTATTTTCAAAAATCACAATTTCGAGAAAAATAATAATTCTTTTCACATAAAAAGTCATAGTTAACTTATTTTTAATGTAATATAGAGTTCGAATATTAAAACTATATTTTAGAGACCCCTTATGATATCACGAATGTCAAAATTTAATCACTATAAATAAATCATTATTATATAATTAATATAACTTAATTACAACAACTATTTATATAGTGTTTAATAATTCATATGATTATTTAAGTGTATACATATAGTTGCTAATTGAAACAATTAACAGGCCAGAGACGTTTTCGAAAATTTAGCACATGGGTACTAATGTGTTGTTGCACTCCACAACATTTTTTTTGATAATTTTTATTTTTTTCATCTAGATGGGTAATTATTAAAACATTAACGACTAAAAAAAATGTATTCGCGACTAAAAATATCCAAACATTGCAATGTAAAAATCTAATGCCGCCTGAGGCGATAGCTTTTCTAGCCTCACCCCCCCCCCATAACAAAAATAATTGCACCACAATAATAAGCTATCATTAAAATTCTTCTTTTCGCAATAATTTATTTAAGTTCTTATCACCTTAAGATTTAGTCTTATTGAATAGATATTTTTGTTGATTTAGACTTAAATATTATTCCCTTATAACTTGACCTTTTCGATCTTCTTAAGTACTTTCCCGTAAGACAAACAGGTTATACCCTAAAGCACTAAACAGCGGTGCTTACTTTTACCCTTCATAATATCATAACGTTGCCTAAGGGACATTACTATAAACTAAAATTACATTTTTATTTGATTACACTTCAGCCGTGTCAGCGTCGCTGACTAACATTAATTATCTTACGTTTTTCTAAGTCTTGGGTAAACAAAAGCAAAAAAATGTCTTATGTTTAATGAATTTGAAGAAATTGTAACTATTTAATTATACAAATTTCATAAAAAATATAAACAGGGTACACGATTATGCTAACTAAATTATTTCATGCTAAAATGTTCAACCATAAAGGTTTTTATTTATACATTTAAGACGTTTTAATGTGCTAAGGTAACACTCGACAGATATATAAACCTAAATAACTCTATCATCTTCTAAACATTTTTATTTTTATTTATTTAACTATGTTCCTTTACGTTAAATATGTAATTATTTTTATTATCATTTCAGGGAGCATTAATAGCACTACTGGCAAATATAATAAGAATAACAAATACTGCAGTGTTAATGGTCTTCACTTCAAAGCATAATAATAAAAATTAAACTAATGAAAACCTCAAAACAGTAATAAAGTCGTTTCATCAAAAAATAAAAGTTAGCGTTAAAAATATTCATAAAAAATATTTAATACTACTTTGAATTCATAAATAACACATTAAACGAACTGTTAATTGTAAATAAGTAACATATAGCTACAGTTTCATAATTACTTGCCGGAATTGACTGTTTAAACACAATTTCTACCGACGCAATTTGATAGTGTATAAACGTTGTTAGAAAAAAAAGGGGTGATTGGTATGACTTGTAAGTCAACTATTATAACTAATAAAAATATATAAATGATTGTTCATTGAAGTCTTTATAAATTTGAAGACATTATAATCTATTTAAGATTAAAAAATATATTTTCTAAAACGTTGTAACCTGTGAATAATAATTTCTATCCAATAAAATTGATCATAATAGTTATCAAAGATGTATTAAGCATAATAAACGAATGTTACAGAGTTATTAATAGCTCAATCGATTGCAATGCCAATACAAGTCTGTTATCAGTTGTTATTTGTATAAAAAAGTCCGAATATGCTAACTATTTGTATACTGTGATAAAAAATGGGTAACTTTGTAAAATGAATTATCCCCCGAGGCACCCATAAATTTTTGTACACAATTTTTTCTATTGGGTACTAAAAATTGTTTGTATACAAAATTTCTTTCTTAAATTACCAAAAAACTCACCCAACAAAAAGTAACCTTGTTTGGTAAAAAGTTTATAATCCTACCAATGTTTTAAATAATTGAAAGATTAGAATTATTAGAAGTAAGAAGCAAAAATAAAAAGCCACGCAATTCTTAAGGAGCGAATAGAGGTTTTTAAAATTGAAATATTTTTCCTTGACTACTTTTTTTTTTTACTTTGACGTCACTTACATTTGTGTAAATGAATACTATCGTATTTTTTCATGATAAATTCAAGAAATGAAAGTTCATAATATGTTACAAAAACAAGTTAAACATTTTTCTCAGTTTTACAAATACATATAAACTGGATATTGATTCCTTCAAAACATTTCCCAACAAATCCATCGATATTATTACTACCGTTAATTTTAGTTTTATTAAATGTAATTTAGACTTAATTAACACATAAACTTTATTTGAATATAATTATTATTGTACATCGCAATTCAAAATTGTTAATTTGTTTGGTGATTTGTTATTGTCCACATGGAATTAGTTTATAGAGTACATTTTTAGTTAAAGAATTTCTACGAGTGAAAAGAATAACGAAAAGTCTAATGTAGTTGCAAGTTGTGTAGAAAAACCTACCCAGCGTATAATAATGGGGTATTTTAATCAAAACGTAAACTATAGTGTTCGTCGCTTCGGCACACCTCTAGTGTATTATTATTACAATTGTAGTCATTTTTCGCTGCATGTACGCCTCTTACACGGTGCCTCGGCCCTGATTAGTATTGTACAAAGACAATGAGAAAAGGAAAAACAATGCGTGCAAAAAACAGGGTCAACTTTAGTAGAAATAACACGAGCCGACGATTCAATTGAAAAGTTAATTTATCCAAATGTTTCTTGTCCGTACAATCAAGTGAATTGGGCTCAATATTAGGTATTCTTTTTTTTTTATTTCGATTTAAACCCTATTTGTTTAGTACGGTGAACGAAAACACAAAACGAACTAGCCCAGCACATCATATCGATGTATTTGGCTAGCTCTCTTCATACACGACCGAAAACAAAGCAGGTAGCTGTTGATGGGCAAATGCGATACAGTCTAAAAGTTTATTGACCGCACAAAGTTAATGGACAAAAAATTATAATAAAGCAAAACAAATTCGTATGTACGCCGATCAAATAAATTGTGTTGTACACGAAGAAAATAAAATTACACAATTTGATTTTGTATAATTCGCAGACGACCTTCGCTATACATGCAAAATTATAAACTGCTACTAAACGTAAATAAATTTTGCTGTGTAAACAAATAAGAAATTGATACCCATACAGCGGTTAGTCACATCGTTCAACGAAAACCGAAAGCTAATTGCCATTACACGGGTAAGAACATTATTGTTATGCTCAGTGCATAATAATTTCTTTAATACACTCATTTTTATTACCTGGAATAGCAGTATCATTTTACATGTTAATTGTGATTTGCAAATTAAACACTGTGAGACCTGACTTTAATGACTCATTGGGGACACTGCAGTTTCTAACAAGTCACCGTGTATTGACCTCTTTAATAATAAATTTTACACATCTCTTCATTGTTTCTAAAAGTAACTTCTCGGTAAGCTATTAAAAATATGTCACAGTCATAATGATAATAAAAAATTTCTAGTCCAAACGAATAGATTGAATTCAAACAATATCGAGTACTTGTAATTTATCGTATGTTTTTGTTTCCTTTGTATATCCGTCATTTATTCTACCAAACAAAACTTTTATAAAAATTAAAAAAATAACTCATTAATTATATTTTTGAGCATTAAAAAAAGAAGTCTATACTAATTAATTATAAAATTATTCATTTACAAACAAAATTATGCTAATGAAATACGTCCCTAATTGTATAATTTGTTCTTGTTAGAAATTGAAAAATTGTATTTTTTTGACGATTATCACTGTTTAGGAATCGATACTGGAAAGTCACAAAAACTAAAATTGACAGTTAAAAGAAAAAAACGTTTATTTAAACCTCGTGGACTTATGACGAGCGTTTTTTTTATTTTCAGCATTATTTTTATTCTATACAGAAATTTTAATTATTATTTTCACCAGATTATAAGAATATGTATTTACTACGTTTTCCGGAAAAAAAATTGATTTTTTTTTTGGATTTGGTTTCTTTGCCGGGTCATTACCTCAACTATTTCATGAAAACATGATTGTTAAATATATATATATATATATATATATATATNGTTTAATTTTTTTAGTTTTAGAATTGATAGATATTTCGGTAGAAGCTTGTTTTTTAAGACTAGTTATTTTTTCCGTAAAATAATGTGCTGCTCTGTTAGAATCGATAATATTATACATTTCAGACCACTCAAAATTTTGAATTAGGTCAGTTAATTTAGCATCATCTGCTATAAGTATTTTTAAGAGATTTGGTTTATTATTTCGGTTGTCAAGTAAATTTCCTATACTAATTATGTTTGGGTAATGATCTGTTATATTGGAATTAATAACTATTGGCTTTATGTGATATAAAGACTTTGCTTTAACAAAAATATGATCAATACAAGTATTAGACACAGGTCTGGTTATGTTTTTAATTACAGGTATAAATCCGAACTGGGCCATTAACATGAGATAATCTTCATTTGTTTTTGTAGGTTTTAGTATGTCGATGTTAAAATCACCTAATATGATTTTATATTTAGCTTTTTTTAGATTAGAACTACTCAGTATTATATCGTTTAATTCTTCTAGTGCTATATCAATAATACCATTAGGAGATCTATAAGTAGGATAAATTACAAAGGCCGTTTTTGATAATTTGAAAGAAATTTCTAAAGTTGTTAGTGCTGATGTGTTAAATTCTATTATCGAGACATCCGATAGGGTGTCTTTTAAGTATACTACAATACCGTCATTTTGATTTTTATTATTTAAAGTTGTATGAGTTGAGTAACCTGAGATTGAGAAATTGGTGATTGATATATTACCAAGCCCTAACCAAGCCTCTGTTAAAATAATAAC